GTACACCCAGACCTTTACCCAGAGTTCAACATTTAGATCATTTGCCAGCCAGGTAGCCAAATGATTGAATACACTATAAGGCAGTTTCCTACATAGATTCTAAGGCACTTGTGTAAATAATGAAGCTATATTGCTGTGGGTGACTCCTGGTTCAAACAAGCCATTTTGTTTGTCCATCGATTTCGGTGAAGACCTCGACATCTTGTGGATTGTGGGCCATCAACGGTGTGTCCGTAGATGGCTGATGAGACCGATGTTAGCACGGAATGTTCTGCCACATACTGAACAGAGAAATGTGGACACTATTGCTTCAGCATTTGCAGCTCTGGCTTTACGGAGTGCTCGCTTCTCTTGTGCCAAGATTGTCCTTTTGTGTTCATATATCTGGCTTGCAAGGAGAGTGAACGGAGATGTGGAAACTCCAGAGAAACCAACAGGTAGCTAAAATTCCTAGAAAATTCCTTTGCATCTCCAAAAGGTGGTTTTGTTTGGTTTTCCTAGTAATAGCCCCTGGAATGTTCTTCTGGGGCTAACATGTGAAATTGCTGAGCTATTAACTGAAATACATAACTGGTCTCTCAAATCATCCCTTTTTCGGATGGCCTGGAAGCTGGCCAAGTTAACACCAATCTTTGAAAGAGGATCCTGGGAATGACAAATCTGTTAACTAGACTCTTTGTTAGATAATACTGATAGAAAGTTAAAATCCAGGCCAGGGAACTGGAGAACGCCCTAGCCTACGAAATCGTCCTGCGTCTGGATGGCTTCTGAAAAAATAACCTTGCCTTGCTAAACATTTAGAACTTGTAAAAGCTCTTAACAAACTTGTGTTTTAATCTGCATTCAAAGGCATCTTCGTTTTCGTCAAGTCCCTCCCCAGACCGTTTCTAAGAAACTTTGCAAGATCCAAGGAGAGTCCTACAGATCATTAACTAGGAAAAGAAGGAAGAAAATAATAATAATGCAGCATCCACTGTGGAGATAAGCAGAATCCCTTCCTTCTTATCAGTCTGAACTTGTAGTTTTTCAACATCAAAGATCTTCCAAGAATAGAAATGGGCAACTCAGTGGCACAGATCAGCTGGGCGACACATAAATCTAATAAATAAATAAAAATAAAATTTGGGGAGGAAAAAAGCTACAAAGCAGGCCCTCAATTTAAAATGACCGTAATTTAAAATATCAGTATGTTTATAGGGGGAATATTTAATGCAATGCGCCTTTTATAACATCAAACATTAATATCCAGCAGCAACTTTTGATTTGAAGCTTGGGGGTGGGGGAGAAATTATCCTTTGGCCTCAGAGTAAACATCCTGTTTTACAATATCTCATCTTTCCGTTGTAACAGTGTCCCAAAATATATGAAAGTGTTTCCATTGTATATAAGCCACTGCATGAAAACAACCAAAACAGCTAAAATTGTAACAATTAAAGGGCAAACTAATACAAATGTCCCAGATATTCCTGCTCTTCTTTATTCTTGGAATTACATGATTACCTCCTAATTTTAAAACCTTTGCTGAATATCACCTTATCCAGGGATTCTGTTGTTAATTCATCCAGCTCATTGTAATTAAGCCAAAATTCTTTTCTCTTTATAAACATTGTTCCATTTCTCCATGGTTTCTAAATTCTGGATAAACTGGTTGGTTTACATAGGCAGCTGTTTGAAATGTTGCTAGAGGTAGACGAAATTGTCAATTATATTGCATATATACAGCACTGTGGATGGACCTCAATGCCTATTCAAGTCTGCTACCAGCTAAACCTCTCTTAAAACATGAATCAAAGCAAGCCATAAAATTGACAAATGTTAGCAAAAGTTAACAGAAGGGAAGTCTAGAATTAAAAAATACTGTATTTTTAAACAGGAGCCTAAAATACAGCAGTATTAAGATCTTCATGAGCTAGTTCCTTGTGATGTGTTGTATATGCAGAAACAATAATCTAATATTAATGATGGCAGCCCATAGTGTAGACAAAGCACTCCAGCCATCTTATTTCTGGAGGGTGAGAATAACATGGGAAGCACTGCCTCCTATCCAATTAAATCTGCTGCCAATACAGCCTTAATAGAAAATTGATTTTTTAAAAAAAAGATGGATCAAGTATAGAAAAAGGGGAAAAAATAGCTACTTTCTTTCATAAGCTGCAGGAGATCTCCCCGTTGAAAAATGCTTCTAATCAATAATTCTGCTTATTTAATTATCTCCTCTTTTATATCTAGAGCTGAGGGGAAGACCCTGACAGTGATTCTCTACAATTTCTCTTTCATCTCAGAAGGCATCCGTGATTCTTGGAGATTTGCTCTTTAAAAGTCCAATTAGCCACGAATAAATCAGCAGCAGTTATCCCATTGTTATTCTGCATCTTTGTCAGCATCTCATAGGATGGTATTGATTTCCAAGTGATGGGAGGACCACCCTGCTCACCAGGGTCTGTTTCATGTCCTCAATATTCAGGGTTCCCTCTAGACAATTGCTCTAACAACAACAAAAAAGAATAGCGTACGAACTCCGTGCCCTTTAAAATAAGTATTTTATTATTATAAAAAGCATGAAAAAATACATCATTGGGAAACAAACAAAGCTGTAAATAAGACACAACTGTCAGCATTTATAAAATTACACTTTTATCCAACCAACCATTAGGATAAGTTAAAAACACGGGGGTGGGGGGAGAGGAGTATAGTAGACAGCAGATAAGTGCAAAATCTCCCTCAAACCACTTTTATGTTTGAACTGTCATGAGAGAGACATTATTTATTACTATGGCTTGAATGACAAAAGACAGCATTCACACAGTAATATGCTTTGAAGCGGACCCAGCTCCAGGGTATTACAAGTAACTCTTCAGAATTGCCCAGGCCAATAAAGAATCGGGGACATACCTGACTGGGTTTATTAATTTATTTGCTAAATTTATTTGCCACCCATTTCGCCGTGGGGCTATGCTAGGCAGCTTACAAGAATGGAAAGGAAGAAAGGAAGAGTGCAAACAGAATTAAGATAATAGAGCAATAAGATGAACAATGAAAAAGAATACAACTCTGTGTTTATGCACAGGTAAACACAATCTGGGTTTATAGACAAACCCCGACGATGGACGCCTCTATGAAACTCTGAAGAAGAATTCAGCATATTCCAAGGTGCTCACAAAAGCGGCTCGGCCAGACACACCAAAGAAATAAGCTAAAAACTATGGGAAAAATTGTTCTCAACAAGTTATGGCTTTGACAAAGTCTGAATCCAGCCAGCACCTTGGATAGTACTCTGAACGTTAAACCAAAAACCGTGGAATAGCTTTGGAAACGACTCTTCTGCCAAAGGGGCGCTTACAATGCAGCATTTGCAGAAATGTCAAACGCCAGACCTCCAAAGTCACAGTCATTACTGGCGAGGAGTGGATGTAAAAGCGTCTTTTTGAAAATGTTTGATAAGAACCAGCTAAAGCACGGATGCAGAACTTTTTCCGCTCTGACGTGGTGCCATCCCACTTGGTGCCAGACCATATATAAAAAAAGAAAGAAAAAAAAGAGGAAGGGCTGCTGAGTTGTAGGAAAGAAAGAAGGGAAGGAAAAGAAATGACACTGTCCACCTGGTCCCAGCAATTTGCTGCAGGTTGGTTTCTGCTGTCAGAAGGAAAGATGGTGGGCCACCAAAGGAATGCAGCTGGAGCGCAGAGGATTTAGTAAACCTTTCAGTCCCTACTTAACCCTGATTTTTTTGGGGGGTGTCATGATTGGATAATGGTTGATTATTTGGAAAATCTGAAAGACACAAATATGTTGCAAAGGATAGAAAGAAAGCAAACCTGGAATTACTAGTTTAGAGGTTTGGATGATTTACAAAAGGCAGGGAATGAGGCCTTGCTTTCAGTTTCAACAGTTTATCAATATTAATAAAATATATCTGGCTTTGCCTAAGTAATGGTGCATTTGTAAAATATGGATATTCTCAACTTTTTTGTGCTATCTTACTAATTGCCTTGATTGTCTTGTGCAAGAGACTCCCTGAAATGTAACAAGTCTGGTGGAAATTTAATGACCTAGCTACATACATTCAAACTATTAAATAAGGCTGCTGCCTCCAGAATCTACCCACGATATATGAAGAACCATAATTTATAATTTTAGTTCTACATATTTTCAATTACAAAGTATTCTTCTTTCCTAACTACTTATATTGCTCTACAGTTACGTGTTCTTTCCTTATATCGCTTATACTTTTCAATTCTTTATTTCCAAGCGATACTTTACGTAAAAAAAGGGGGGGAAATCAACTAAATTTTGTCTCCAACTGAAATGACATCTAACTTTAAAAAACAAGAATTTCTATTCAGCTCTTCAGCAAAGGACTAGAAACTGTATATTCTTATCTTTTTTGTCCACATCTTTATAAGGGTTCAGCTAAATCAAGGCTCAGTTCAGCCATTTCAGCCCCCAAATTTGTTTAATAAATAGTGCAAAGAGTTATGTAAAGTCAATTCAAATAAGTTCCAATTTTCCTTTGGTTTAAGCATCTAAATGTCTTATTGACAACACCATTCAACTCTGGCTTCCATTCAATACTATATTTAATGACGCTTTTTCTAGGAAGGTGTTCTCAGAATTGCCGATAGGGAAAACAGCCATCCAGAAACCGTAAGAGAGGCAGAGCTGATGCTGAAACAGTAGCCGCCCTGCCAATCAATCAATCAATCAATCAATCAATCAATCAATCAATCAAGCAAGCTTTATTCAGAGACCTCTCCCTTTTGGAAGCACTGAATCTATACAGTGGTACCTTGGTACTCAACTGCTTTGAATTTGGCACTCAGCGCATTTTGACATGGACAGTTTGTCCCGGTACTCATCATTTGTTTGGTACTCAACACACCAGCTAGAAATTGTCGGTGTCGGCAGCCTTACGACTCAATAAATTATTCCTTGGCTTATGGGAATAAGGAATAATTTTGGTACTCATCACCCCTCCCGATACCAATTAATGATGAGTACCGAGGTACCACTGTAGATTCTTTGTAACTGTAAAGGCAAGAAACATGCCTTTCAGAATGAAACATGCTTCTCAGGGCTTAGAAAGGTCTTGAGACAACATCCCTTAATGTACAATGCAAATCACAGCCGTGGCGATCTCTCAACCCAACTGGTAAATCATACTTGGCTTCTGACTAGGTTCCAGTTTGCTCTTTATGTTTGCTTCTTTCACTTCTCTTTTGCCCTGGAGGAAGCAGAGACATCCACTTCCTTAATATTAAGGTTCTTCTTCATTCGTAGCTCGAGGGGGTGAGGACACCTCCACATCACAGTAGCTAAAACCGTATTTACCCAGCAGGACTTTCTGAGAAATGTCAGTTAACTGGGATTCATGAGCGGCGTTGACCGAATTCTGTGCGTTCTTCTTCTCCAGAGATTTATGCAAGAGTTCCTTCATCCTCCTGTTTTCTTTGGCGGTTGATTCCCAAATTATTTCAAGTTCGCTTTCCATTTCTCTGAGAACAAAGAAAGAGAAAAAAGATGGACTAGGTTTGCCTGCTCCTCTCCCTCCATGTTTAAGCGGCACCTTGGAGGTGAACGATCCATCAGTACAGTCAGAACAATTACATTAATTTTAGTATCTTGCCCGATGGTGAAGGAACAGCGTGTGCTCTGAACAAGAATGATTAGGGATCTCTAAGCTAATGTTCAATAAAATGTTCTCCTATCTTCACCTCTTATCTGCAGCGGAGAAAACATCACAAAGAATTATCTGAACTTTCCTTTCTCTTATTAATAACATCATGGATCAATGCATGAGCAAGAGTTAAGGATTCTCTGTACAGTTCTTTTTTTTTAATGACCCATTTTGTAGATGTAGCACCTGTCTTGAGGTACACCCGGTTTCCAACTTGTGATCCCCAAATGCATTGAATTATGGGATTTGCAGCTCGACAAATCTGGAGACCAATTTGGGAGAAGATGAGCTACATTATCTCAAAGACAGTAGGGATTTTGACTTTAAAATTCTCATTGTAAATGTGATTATCAAAATTCATTGATGCAGTCATTCCCTTTTTTAGGAATATAAGAGAATTCTTGCTGAAGCCCAAAATTTCCATTACTAAGCTAAGACAATTGTTAAGTGAGTTTTCCCTCATTTACAGTCCTTTTTGCCACCATTGTTAAATGAATAGAGCATTTTTAGAAGATTGTAAAATCTTTCAGTTGGCTAACAGCTACAAATTGATTAAGGGTTTGGTTTCTGGGTCATAGACCGTAAAGAATTATCTGTAAACAAACAGAAATGAAAAAAAAATATTTATTCTAATATAATTTTAAAAGTTTAAACATTTCATATTGTTCTAATAGTAATCTGATTGTGCAACAACAAGAATATCTAATTGAGCTGACTTACAGATGAATCATTTTAGCCAATCTCCCAATGATGTATAAATCTCTACATGCTGCTCTTTCAAATATTTGTAAAATATTATAAGCCTTCATCGGTAATAAGCAATAAATAGGTAGCTTCCATACTTATTTATTTATTTATTTATTGAATTTATATACCGCCCTATCTCCCTTACGGGACTCAGGGCGGTGAACAGGTGATAATAAAAACCACAATAAATATACACAAATTTCTGTCTAAAATCAAATTAAATAACAGGCCTGCTCTAAAAATACCCCATACAAAACCCCCACTAAAACATAATCAAACTACGCCAGGCTTCTACTTCAAGAAAACATTCTCAAGCACAATTGTCAAAAGACTTTGTCCTTATTGATGTCCTGATTTACAAACTCAATTCCATTTTTTCCCCATGTAACCTCAACAACTAATTTTCTCCAAAGAGCATAACGATATGAACCCAAGGAAGCCAATCAAAAACCTTCTTGCAAAACTGGAGATGCACCTTTAAAATGGTACAATCAACTTTATTGCTTGTTCTGTTGAATGTTCACTTATATAATACTTAATGGTTTTAAGACAGTTACACAAACACGCACCGCATCCCTCCTTCTTTAGACATACAATTACGTATTCTACACACACACACACACACACAGGAAAAAAGGTAGAGGGTTAAGGCTGTGTGTTTGTTCCCTGACATTAGCTTTAATGTGTTGCTGAAATTTCTATCTTTTGGGAACAATTTCCCAGACAACAAATGTTGTCCTTAAGCACGCTGGTGGGAACAAATTAACAACAGCATTACAAATTAGGCCACCACTCCTGATTCTCGTTGCCAAGCTACAGATGCTTAAGAACAACCGTACTACTAATCAATAATTCCTTGTTTTTGTTATTCTTAGAACGAGGGTAATGGTGGTGGAAGGCTCTCGTAGATCAAAAGTCACATAGCTGACCTGAGATCCCAGAAATATATTTTTGTTGCTTGATAGGCTGTAGCCTAAGAGAAAACATTTCCTACTTAAAGCAATTTCAGATTTCAGAAGAACTGCAAGCAGAACTCAATCCAACACTGAAGGAATCTGCCTTGAGTAAAGTCTTTTGACCATGTTGACATACAAACCTTTTTGTATATCACTTTTTTTAAAAAAAAAAAAAAGTCGCCATAGTTAGACGTTTAACCAGACCATTTACAGAATGATTAATTCATTATAATCCATTTTACCAGGTTGCATCAGAGAGAGAGATGAGAAGTTGGCTATTCCATCAGCCCTGCCCTTACTCTCTCCAGCTGGTCATTATTTAATACTGTTTAACTTTAAAAATCGGTATCTGGATTTTATCTTCTCCTTTTCTTTCAACGATCTTTTTTTTTTTTTTACTTTTTATGATGCGTTTTTTAGGCTATAGGCCTGGAGGCAGTACCTGTTTTGATTTTAATGATTATGTGTACCTTATTCTTGTAGCGTTTTGGGCTGCAGAGCAGATAAAAAGAGCTAATAGAGATAATGCCAATTATTCTTCTGTCTCATGCACTCAAGCTGTTCAATAAAACTGGCCTAAAATTAGGGCATTTAAAACATTTAAAATTATATATAGACTGCAGCACTGGATGGCATCTTCTTTGGACATACTTCATGCTCTGCAGTGGAAAACACTTAAAAAAATTGCTCTTCTTAGAAAGAGTGAATTCCTTAACTGCCAACTCTGCTAAAGACATCTTGGCAATGATACGTGAAAAAAGGACCTTTAAAAAGGAATGTGGTTACTGGGCATATTCACACTGGAGGTGATCTTTCAGATCTTGAACTGAATTGAAGAAGCAGAAGGTAGTATAAACTGACTGGAGTAATGAAGTCAGAAGAAGTCAGAAAAACAAGCAGCAGAAATGCAGCCCCATGAATTCCTGCCCATTTGGAAAAAAATAGGATAACTACTTGCAGGACATCTGAGACTATTACAGTCTGAACATAACTAAGGTATGGATCAAATGCAGCTTGACCTAATCTTCTACGGTTTACAGAAAGAGCAGGCTTGAACTATAAAATGGTATTGTATTAAGAAAAATCTAAATTTTCTGGAGCCCAACAGCTGACATACTGTAGGTCCATCTTCTTTGCTGAATTCTTACTCCAACTGCATTCTAAAGAAAATCTTGCTCACCATCACGTTGACATTTGTTACTATTATCCAAAAAACAACAACAAAAAACCAACAACCCAACCCTCTGAAGGGATTATAAACACCTAGCATCTGGTTTTGTCTAGAGGGCCTTGGAAGGTTGAAAGGCTCTTAGGCTGATTTCTAAGTCAAAAGGAGCCTTAACCATGAAGAAGAGACTCTAAGTTGAAGATTTAGGTGACGCTGAAGTTGGCTGAGTGGACACAGACCAGTGCCATTCCAGGGGAAAGGTGTTCTGTTTAAACTTTTTGGTATGTTACTTTTCATTTTTTAAAAAGAATCACCATTCTTAGATGGCCACCAGAGCATTTACAGAATGATTAATTCATTACAATCTGTTTTACCAGGGAGAAAAGATGGAGAAGATGGTTTTTATTCTTTTTAAAGATCTTGTAAGAGGCTGGCCTTTTGTATTTCCTGCGCATTGGGGGCATTGAACACATCTGGTGCACCTCTTCCCCCCCACACACACACACTATAAGGCACATACCAAACAAGGAGGTGATACATCATTCATTGTGGCACAGGTGGTTTCATAGATTGGGTGCACCCTTTGTAAAGAAGTCAACAGTGGTCTCACCATGCAAGCCATCCTATAATAGGCCAGTAGTTATTACAGACACAGATGGCACACAGCTTGAACCGTGACTGCCATTATTTTATCTAACAATGGTCGAGAGGATCTGCAAAGAAAACTGCTCAATTAGCCATCTCTTGTGTTGCTTAAAAATAATCAGTCATCAAAACGTTCTCTGACACCTTCTTCGCTACCCACGGTGGGGAGAATCCTCCCCACTCAGGAAATATTTTGCTAAGCGCCGTTAACCGACCTCTCTGGTTGGTTTATAAGAGAACTGACCGTCTGAGACTGATCAGTCCTTGCTGGGGGGGAAAAAACAACAACAACCCTTCTAAAATCAGCCAGTTATATGACCACTGATTCACTCTGGAGAGAAGGACTGAAAACTGAGTTCAAAAGTTAATCGCTCCTGTCCATCGTGCGCCTCTTCAAGAAGACGCGCGACAAGCAGACGGCGGGATTTGTAAGGCTGGCTGCCAGCCCTTGCAAGCAATCACTTCCTTCAAGGTTTCTTAGGCTGTGGATGGAGGCAGGGAGGGAGAAGGAGAGTGGGGAGAGGAGGAGAGTGGTATTTTTAACCCAGCAGAGAGAAGAAGAGCGAATGCAGACAGAGTACACCAGATGGGGCTCTTACAGCAAGTTCTGCATTCTCTCTCTCTCCCCCCCCCCCTTCCCAGCCCCTTTCAACCAGTTGGATGCAATTTGTTTGTGGAAGGAGGCTGGGATTAACTTACCTCTTCTGCTGCAGAGCTTCATCCAGGGATTCCTGCTTCTCCTGCAGCAGCCGCTGGAGATGTTTCATTTCCCGCTGGTACTGAGCAGTCTTCCCCGCAAATTCCTTCTCTCGCTCTGTCGCTTTGAGGCTGATGTCCCCAAGCTTGCCTGCAGCGGTCTTTTTATACACCTGTGAGAGTTGGAGCAGAATCCAGTTAAAAGGGGCATAGCTGGATCGTAACCGGGGGGGTGGGGGGAAGATGGTTCTTTCTCACGGCTGCTGCTTCGTCCTGAGTCACAGGATGCCCGGTTCGGAGAACAAATCGGGTAGGTTGACTCGAAGGAAGATGCTCAGGTCGTTCCCTCTCCGAGCATTTTTACTACATGCAGTTTGCTAATGAAGACGACAAAGATGTCACTGCCTGGGCAGACTAAGTGGTTTCATCCTAGGGTTTTTCTCCTAAATAGCTTGAAAGCCAAATATTGGTTGGACTAGACGCGGTGAACAGCTAGACTCTAAACACACCTGCTTCTCTATAAGGTCAACAGTCAAGTTTTATTGATCAATGTCCAGGTAATGATAAAGAGATGCGACTGTACATTATGGGTGATTTGCCCTTTAATTTTAGCACAAGAAGGGGGAAAAAAAGAAAAGAAATAACCTTAGCTTTGCAATTGATGCTTCTGTTACTGTAATGGCTATTTGTTTGTTTTCTCTCTAGAATACTGGAATGTAACTCTTTTTTTCCTCTCTCTCACACTTAACATGCCTTTTTTTAGAAAAAGCCTGACATGCGAATGGAGCTTTTAAAGCTGTTTTGGGACAAAGATGGCATTAGACTGGATTTTGTCTCTGAGTAATCAAAATTATAGAATGCTTAATTAGACAAACACCACTATTAGAGAGTCTGAAAGGAAAGATACATTTCTTATAACGAGTATTTTCCTGCCAACAGATGCAGGCTGACTGGTTAACAACTACTCTGATGGTAAAGGCTAAATTCCTGCTTCAAGTCTTACAGTTGGAAAGTCAGCTCTTTGCAGTGATTTTTCATGAATACAACAAAAATGAAGTTAACGTTGAATAACGTAGCCTGTAAAATTTCATTAACGAGTTGATACATAAGTATTGAAGCAGATTACAATAGCATTGGGATGTGTTGTCCATTTGAAACTATCCTAGGAATCTAGCGCTCAGAATATTAAGATCTTGCTTGTTAAAGAATGTGACAGTAGTTGTCATTTGGGCTTTGGGGGGGATGTTTGAATTTCGTGGGAACATGCTCACAGCTTGGTATATATTTACTCCAAGACCCTCTTCTTTTGCATTCCCATACAAAAGACAAGATAGCCAAGACCAGGACCAGATGGAATAGTTTGATCCAGGACATCTTCCATGTTCAGAAGTGATGACAGCAAAGCAATTGTAAATGTGGTTAGATCATACTGGCCCATCTACTTTAAGTCAGCCCATAGATGCATTCTTAGGAGCTTTTCTATTTATTTATTGTGGCTGGTTATGATGTACATTGTTTTACTTTTGTTGTTTAATCTAATCTGGATAAAAAGCTAGATTCTACGAAACTTTAGTCAGACTGGAGTCTAGATAGATCACACTTGATTCCATTCTGAAGTCTCTTAGGGCAGTAAAACAGCTGATCCAGGAATAGCTTGAGGCATATAGTTGCACTGTTCAAGTGGACTTCCTGAATGCTAGTGGTGTCTATGGGGACTTTTTAGCAGTTAATGAGATAAACGAGGAGCTTCGTTTCTTTTTTTTTTCTTTTACTGGATATTAATCCAGTAAAAATGCTTGTTTGGGTAAAAATAACTTATTCTGTAAGCATTATTTTAAATGCATGCAGGACTTCAACCTTAATCTAGTGCAGATACTATACGAGGTCACCCAAACAATCTGTGAAAGGAGGGTAGAAGAGAATGTCATGTTCCAATGAATGTTTCTGAGATAGAAGATAAAATGGAAAGTCAAATGTTTGCCACCCATCAGGTTCATCAGCTCATATTGGGCTCATCTCTTTCTCTAACTTCTCAGTGTCGTGTAAGGATATATCTGAGGAACTCCCACAGTGGTGTAATCATTTTTTGGGATTACACAGGTTATTACCCTAGTTCAGTGTTTCTCATCCTTGAGAACTTTAAGTTGCGTGTACTTCAACTTCCAGAATTGAAGCTACTCTTCAATTCCCATTTCCAGCTAGAGGTTTTTTCCAGTCCTATTTGAAAGCCTGGAAAACTACTGCCATTACAGTAGAGTAAATAATACAACTGTGAAAGGACCAATATCGTGGCTTTCCACGTGCCTAAATATTTTGGCTTAGGAAACAACAGGAAGACTAGTTTTTCATCGACTTCCGAGTTAATCAATTACAATTGTGCTTTGAAGAAAATGATACCAGAAGATAATCTGAGCAAAAAGTTGTAAATATTGCTCAAATATTCAAGAAAAGGCTGTATACGTTCCATAAGCCATTGTTGGAAAAACAATTTCCAGGAGATTATAAGATGCATGAGGTAAAAAAAATTATAAAATTACATGAAATTAAATATAACACATTCCTAATGAGAAATGTGAATTGGTTTAATCAATTTTATCCCTTTTTCCACTAAAAAAAAAAATATGCAACCACAGAAATATACACCCTTGTGAACAAGGCATGATAAACAGAGTAGGAAAACTTATTGCTGTTCTCTTTTGACAGTGTGCCTAACGGGAAGATGAATTATCTGCAAACTGAGGGGGAAGACAAAGTGCCGAGCGAGGAGCTGGAGTGCAAAATCTGTTACCAGAAATTCAACGTCCAGAGTCGCAAGCCCAAACTCCTGGACTGTCTCCACAGAGTGTGTGCAAAATGCCTGACTAAAATCCTTCAGGTGGGAAGCGGCTGTCTTCGCCTTAGCTGCCCTTTCTGTCGGCATGAAACAGAGCTACAGGAAGAAGAAGTAGAAGGACTCCCTGATGATTTAAATATCTTGTCCAGACTGGTAACCAAAGACAAGTCAACATGGAACTCAGAGTGCAAGGAAGTTCTCCTGACACCAAAGAACTTAGGTTCATCAAGTCCCTCACACGGGTCATCCAACTGCCTGGTGATAACCATCATGGAAGTACAGAGGGATTCCACCCGGACGCCGAGCCAAAACACCCTCTCAGATTATTATACAGATCACAGCCTTGACTCAGAATCTGTCAGCTCCACCAACCAGCTGGACCAAGATGTTTTCTCCAAGCTCTGTAATCATGTTCCCAGAATACTAGTGTGGCTACTTGGGTTTTTTTACTTCGGTTCTTTGCCCCTTGGAATCTATTTATTAGTGATTCAGAAAGTGACCTTGGGAATTGTCTGTGTCAGCCTTGTGCCATCCAGTCTGACTGTGTGTCTTGTGTACGGTTTTTGTCAGTGCCTCTGCCAGGGAATGTGTGACTGTTCTTCTAGAAATTGATGCCAAAACACAAGAGGATATTTAGACATCGAAAAGACTATGCTATTGTTTTTTTTTATGTGACTATAAGTAAGAAAGAAGGGCATCCGTCTGTGGACTGATATTTTTAACATTCCGTTCTTCTGACTACAGTATTTACCAAAAATGAATAAAGATGGTCTAGAAAGATAAAATCTTTATGTGGGAGAAGTTTGGAATCTTGAAAATGCAATATTGTCTTAGTGTTGGCTGACTACAAGCAGCTCTTCATCTGATGTCTCTGAATGCAGCCTTTCAATATATTTTGAAGGTTGCCTCTGACTCAATCACAAGATGGAGTAGAAGCTACTCAGAAAAATGTTCTCCTGAGAAAGCCATCTGAAGTTATTTTCCTTACTCCCCAGACTGTTACATCAACGGGGGATAAAAGAGAAAAATTGCTTTGTTAAACTAGGGCCGTGCTTAATTTGATTCATGGCTTAGTTGAAGAAAGTAGCTATGGATTTATCTCTTGCTCTGCAAAGGAGGCAGAAGAGATCAAGGACTGCAGTTTTTAAATTCTTCATGCTCTGTCAAATTGGATGGCACTTTAGCCAATGTTGAATAAAAAATATAGCTGGATATGTGCTACAGTCAGAAAAATAATCTAGACTATTTCTGGCAACATGGACTTCTCTGATAAAGTTTAGATATCACTTGTATGTCGATGCATAGTGCTGCTAAATTAAAACGAGCAGTTTTAGGTATATGGCTATGTATCCTTACATTGTATGTGGTTATGAAGCTGATATGCTAAAAAGTAGGATAGTTCTGTTTTATTGTGTGCATTTGTCTTATTCTGCAATGGACAATCCTATCGGTTTAAAAAGAAGCATGCACCAACATGGTTGGCTAGAACATACTGAGTTTTGAACCCTCACTGCTTTACAAGTGAGAATTACTTCTGAAAATCAGGTCAGGATTCATGACATTATTGTCTTGTTTAAAATCCTGTAAAGCCAGCAGCAATCTTTTGCAATGGGATTCAAATAATCTGGTGTCACCTATCCTTACCTGACAATAATAGCTGTTCCAAGCACACATTTCAGCACTTGTTAAACAGACTTTTTTTTTAAAAACACACACACACAAGAGATTCAATCAGCAACAGAGTCTCTTCAAGAACTCACTGGTCCTCTGAGACCACCCCCACCCCCAAGCCTGATCACAAAGCCAGGTCTTGAGGGACTTCCAGAAGGAAAAAAAGGAAAATAATTTAACTTGTGTTGTCACTTTTAATCAAATATTTATTTTAAGACGAAGAGAAACAACAAACGTCTGAAACTGAAAGGGCAAAACTACCCAGCTTTATGTAATGTGATGATAAAAGGTTATGAAGTTTATCACTACAATAAGTGTTGCAGAAAAATTTAAATGGCATGCCTTTGTAAGCACACATCCACTGGGAAACTTTTTGCTCTCATTACGTAAAAATGTGTAAGCTGGAAATTAACCAGTATGATTTTTTTTTTGTATGCAAGGAACTGAAACACTTCCTCACGGCAAATATAAAGATGTTAATGTTAAGTACAGTTAAGATTTCTCAAAACTGACTGGGATAAGAATACTTTTTGTAACAGCTTTTTAAGCAAAACGAAATTAAAACCCCCCAAAAAAGTTTTAGGGTCAAGCAGGTCAGATTTCCTGCAGGAAGGAACAAGTTAACAATCGCATTAGGAAATATTTGAAATAATTTGGTAGATATGTTTGCTGGAAAGTAAGAAGTGCACAGAACGATACAGTCCATATCCTGCTTGCGATTCCCTAAAAGCATCTGACTGACCACTGTTGCAGTGCTGAACTAAACAGATCTCTGGTTTTCAGGTTCAAGTCATTAAATGGATTTCAGAAATAATTTTCTTGGTTGCGGGATCTATAAAAGGAAAACAACAGTACAAAACCTGCATCGGTGTCTGTTTAAAACTACCACAATAATTAGCTGAAGAATGGATAAACATTACTGTATTAACTGAAAGCCAATGATGTGTTTACTTCTGCATTGGAAAAAAGGGCAGCTCTCTCAAAGTAGCTGAAGCACCATTCAGAACTCAGATGCTCAACTTCGCCTTGTTCAGCTAATGATAATGGTAAAGTTTGGCACTGTTTCACACGATTAGTTAGTAAGTAGCCATGTCTTGATAAACTGGGAATATATGTCTCTCTAAATACAATTAAAACACCAGCGGTATCTATTTCCAATTCAATGCAATCTTATGAAACAGAGTGAACGGTGAGATTTTTGTTATGGCTACAGATGTGCAAAATTCATTCTATTCCAGGTCATGCTGAGCCCACGTCTGCACTACACCATTCCAGGGGAGATTTGGCAATTTCCAGAAGTAACTCTGAACTGGAAAAAACAGTTTGAGAGGATCCAAGGACGATCTGGCCACAAAATAGCCTGTTTCATCCCGAGCATCATGTTCTAATCTAATCCTACCTCCATGTTTTCCTAAAAGCTTACATTTTTGATTCCGCTCCGAAAAATAAGTAACAGATACCACTCTATATCTCACAAATATTTAAAAGGATGAGCTTACCTTTACTTTCTCTTCTAATTTTCCTAGACGTACATTTCCTTCTATTATTTTGTTGAGAACGCCGTGCTTCTCTTTCTCCAAACAACTGGCCTAGGGAAATCAGAAAAGCAGTTTGTGAGTTCTCAAAAAAAGATTTTCCTCTTCAGGGAGAAAGTTTATTCTTACCAAATTTGAAATTCCCAGGTAGTTCAGAGATTGGATGAGAACCTACTTTAAATCAGAACCATCTACCCAGTGTTATCTAGCTGACAAAGGCTGCCTAGGATTTTATCCTCAGAGGTCCTTCCTAAAACCAGCTACTTGAGATCCTTTTAGACAATATATTTCTTTATTTCTATCCTGCCTTTATTCTTTTTACGAATAACTCAGGGTGGTGAATACAAATCTTCCTCTTCCTATTTTCCCCGCAACAATGCTGGGAGGTAGAGTGACTGGCCCAAAGTCACCCATGCTTTTTGCTCCTTCAATAAATTAAACGTATCCCCTGGACTGCAAGGCGATCAAACCGGTCAGTCCTGGAGGAGATCAACCCCGACTGCTCTTTAGAAGGCCAGATCCTGAAGTTGAATCTCAAGTACTTTGGCCACCTAATGAGAAGGAAGGACTCACTGGAGAAGAGCCTGATGCTGGGAAAGATGGAGGGCAAGAGAAGAAGGGGACGACAGAGAAGGAGGTGGCTGGATGGAGTCACTGAAGCAGCAGGCGTGAGCTTAAATGGACTCCAGAAGATGGTAGAGGACAGGAAGGCCTGGAGGAACGTTGTCCATGGGGTCGCGATGGGTCGGACACGACTTCACAACTAACAACAACATCTTTGATTCATTTGATTACCAGGTTTAAAAGCTGATCGCGTTCTTGAGTTACGTTTTCTGCCAAGCTGATCATGTTAACCAGATACTGGTGGGCAGCCATTTCCTTTTCCATTGTTTCTTCCAAGTGCTGCTTCAGAAGATCTACTTTCTTCTGCGACCGCCTGTGTGGTTTTGATAAAAGTCAGAAAAAAATCTCTTAGGGAGCAATTTTATTTTATTTTATTTCAATTCAATATTGGGATTCAAGACTCACAAAGACTTGCAGGAAGTTAAACTTGGTTTAATAGCTCAGCCAAACAATAAAAATAAATCAGTCATCCAATGGCCACTGGAACAGGATACTTTTAATGGCTTTGGGAAAAGACTACAAGGAAAGTGCCAGACCTACAACAGGTAGTCTTCAACTTATCATCACGATTGACCCCAAATTTTCTGTTGCTAAGCAAGACAGTTAAGTGAGTTTTGCCCCATTTTACGACCTTTCTTGCCACAGTTAAGCGAATCACCACAGCTGTTAAGTTAATAATATGGCTGTTAAGTGAATCTGGTTTCCCCCTTGACTTTGCTTGTCACAAAAGGGGATCGCATGACCCCAGGACACTGCGACCGTCATAAATGTGAGTCAATGGCCGAGCATCTGAATGTTGATTCTGTGACCCTGGGGAGGCTGCAATGGTTGTCAGTGTGAAAAACAACCGTGTCACTTTTTTCCAGAGCCGTTGTAACTTTGAACGGTCCCTAAATGAACTGTTGTAAGTCAAGGACTGCCTGCATAAGGGGGGAAAATGTAGTAGACCAAGGGGACAATTAAAGAGAAGGATGAGAACATTTTAAAGCAACTCTTCTCAGCTATGATGACTACAGAGGTGAACCTAAGTTAAAACAAATATTAGCTTGATTTTTTTTATTATTATTATTATTTTAAATTCAGCCTTAAAAAGCTTTCAGTATTTGAAAAGAAGCAGGCTACCTGCCCGCTCAGTTGCTAAAAACTGTCGTTTTGAGAGGCTGCAGAGGGAAGACAAAAGCACAACTAAACCTTTTAGTCTTCTGTGCCACTTCCAGTTCAGCTTCTAAAGCCTTGTTTTCTGCCACCACGTCATTTTTCCCCCGAAGAAGGCTTTTTGTTTCTGCTTGCACAGATGCTAGTTTTTTCATTAGTTCCTGGGTCTCCATCTCTCTCTTTTCCTGTTCCATCTGCAATTGGCTATAGAAACAATAATGAAAACCAGACAGCAAACGAAAGTGTCCATTTTCATACCTCGTAGAAATGAACAGATCAACTACAGTTGAGCCAGTCGTGGGAAAAAAAATACATATTTCTGATGACACGGCAATTGCTGCAAATGTTAAAAGCCGCAGCTACAATAAAGGCACTTAATTAAAACACTTGGCATAGACTAAGAACCCACTTCATGAAGTCTAAAGCTGAAAGTGAAATGCACATACATAAAAATGCCAAAATGTTGTAAAAAGTACAAGAAAGCCACTGACAGGAATGGGACTTTTATAATCAGAACACTTACTTTTTAAATTTATTTTCCAGTGCAACGTGCTCCTCTGCTGTTACGTAATCACCAACGCTGGCCTTTAATTCTTTGTATGCGGAGCGTAATTCTCTCAGCTTTTTCTGACAATCTTTCAACTCTACTTCTTGGTTTTGTTTCTCAGTTTCCAGAAGAATGAGCTGTTTGGTTAATTTGGAAACTAGACCAAAATTATAAATTGCCCCAAATACAAAACATTTTGGGGGGAAAAAAAACACAAGTTATTCTGAGGGAAAATCAGATCACGATTTTTGTTCATAGGTTACTTTTTGATTCCAGACTAGTGCTTCTCACACACGTTAATTTGCAGTATTACTATTAGCTACAAAGCTTTCTTTTCACAAGTCTGGAATGTCAGTGGCAGCCTGTTAAGATGCTGTCAAGTATAAATCACATTAAAACCCTATTCAGGACGGCAAATCTAGACAGCATACTAAAAAGCAGAGACATCACCCTGCCAACAAAAATACCTGTAGTCAAGGCCATGGTTTTCCCAGTTGCATGTATGGCTGTGAAAGTTGGATCATAAGAAAGGCTGAGCGCCAAAGAATTGAGTCCTTTGAACTCTGGTGCTGGAGAAGACTCCTGCAAGTCCCCTAGACTGCAAGGCGATCAAACCGGTCAGTCCTAGAGGAGATCAACCCTGACTGCTCTTTAGAAGGCCAGATCCTGAAGTTAAAACTCAAGTACTTTGGCCACCTAATGAGAAGGAAGGACTCACTGGAGAAGAGCCTGATGCTGGGAAAGATTGAAGGCAAGAGAAGAAGGGGACGACAGAGAATGAGGTGGCTGGATGGAGTCACTGAAGCAGTAGGCGTGAACTTAAATGGACTCCAGAAGATGGTAGAGGACAGGGAGGCCTGGAGGAACGTTGTCCATGGGGTTGCGATGGGTCGGACACGACTTCGCAACTAACAACAACAGGACTAGCAACTACAGTACAGGCAGTCCTTGACAGTTACAACAGTTCATTTAGTGAACATTCAAAATTACAACGGCAATGGAAAAAGTGACTTGTAAACATTTTTTCACACTTATGACCGTTGCAGCCTCCCTGTGGTCACATGTTTTTATGCTGGTTGCAGCGTCCCGGGGTCATGCGATCACCTTTTGTTTCCTTCTGACAAGCAAAGTCAAGAGAGAAGCCACATTCACTTAACAATCGTGTCACTAACTTAACAATTGCAGGGCTTCACTTAATAAGCATGGTAAGAAAAGTCATAAAATGGGCCAAAATTCACTGTCTCGCTTAGCAACAGAAACACTGTCTCTAACTTCGAACTTTTATTTTGCCCCTTTCATATTGCTAATGACAGTGGTTTGCAAATGAACACAAATGTATGCTCGATGCAATGTTACTTATTTTAGATTTACACAAGCTGGTTGATAGCCATGTTTTATTTTACCATGGTGAAACGTGAACGTGCACCATGTTAAGATTAAATAATCAACTACTACAAAGTTTTATTAAGTGTTACAAACCAAAATAAATCTGAAAAGGTTCATGGCTGAATTGATAAGTCCTCACTGACTATCAACACCTGTAATTCTAAACAGGCTTACAAAAGTTGGTAAAATCGGTATCTCTCTATTCACATTTGTTATGTGTAATAAAAAAAAAATATTTCACCTTCGGTAACATGTTGGTTGATGGTATCGTTTATTTTGGTTTCTTGTATTTTAAGCTGCTCCATTAATACTCTGTTTTCCTCTAGGACAAGCTTGGCTTGACTTTGCAAATGCTGCCTGTAAATGAACATTGATTTGAAATTTGAAATAGCCCCCAAACCTTTCTTCAAAGAGTTCAAAATAGTAAATAGTAATGATAAAATAAAGCAACATGCATTTAGAATATATGTGTTCTATGGGAGAAAGCTCTGTATAGGTGCTATATTCCAAACAATTACATTTTTTTTCTAGGCAAAGTCTGACATTTCTCTTTAAAAAAGCATTCTTTGGGTGTGTTGTTTCTGTTCTGCTATCAAATACGTTATGGTTTTCACTAAGAAAATATAGCCACTTAATAATAACCTAATAGCAATAGTTATTTTAAGCTTAAAAGTACGTTTAATACAATACAATGCATACTGATCATATTATTTCTGCTTCTTTAAACACTGTTGAATTTTTACAGGATTTAATATAACTAAAAGTCACTGCGCAGGTTTTATAAACAAATTACAATAAATAAACTATCTAATAGGTTCAAATAATAGTACACTTACCATTCTTTAGTACTAATAAAAGTACCAATATTTTTACTTAATTTGTGGTGTAACTGCTCATTTTCCTTCACTACTTCTTCCACTTGTGTTTTAAACATCTTCATGCTTTCCTGAAGGAAAAGTTGAAATCCACAAGTCATAAAAGGGCCAAGTTTGAAAACCCCTGTATTATGCCAATATTTTCCCGGTCCAATTGCCTTGCACAGGCTTTAAAAATACAGATCTGTTAACTTGCCTCATGCTCTAGAATCAGCTCTTCTTTTTCTTTCATTCTGTCTTCATATGCCAACAGAAGCGGGGATAAATATTTCATGTCAAGCTGAAGAGAATAAAGAAGGAAATTTCAATGCACTGAAACGTAGCTCTGTGCTTTAAACAGTTTTATTTAGTGAAGGTTGTCTAACCAGATAACAATATTTTAAGATTTTATTTTTTAAGATGTCAATAAGGTAATTCATTATCTATCATTTGGAAACGGCCAATAGCGAACAGACGAGGTGCTATAAAATGAAACTTGTTAACTTGCTGCTTACCAGCCACGGGGGTATTGGTTTTTTCATTGGCAGACTTCCAATCTTTACACTCTAAGATAGTAAAAATATAAGCCCGATTAGTGCCCACAATCTTCTGCACCTGTGTATTAAGGTATATAGGAAGGAAGATGTCTGAAATCCAAACTCCAATAGTGCAATAAAGCATATAACTCTTGCTAAAGAGAGGCCAATGTTTTTTTTTTCTTTTTTAACTATAACCAACGAGCCGCAGCATGCTTAAATGCTAACGATACCATATTATCTTGAAAGAAAATATTACCTCATTGGGCGAAATTGGTCTGTACTTTGTCTGATAGCGACTCAGTTCTGCATTTAAACGGTGAACGGTCATTTTCAAACTGTCATTTTCATCTACTAGTTCCTGGGCTTGTTGCCTTAGCAAAACCAATTCTGCACCTTCCTCTGAATTGGTACAAAAAAGAAAAAGCAGATTAAATTTTATAAGGATGCGCGTATTACTAAAACGTCTCCAAAATTTAACTGAAACTGAATGCCCTATAATAAATAGAACTTCTTTAAAGATAGGGCGGTTCCATTATTAAAACTATTTAAAATTCACCTGTACAACTAGGAATCCTCAAACAAAATGCAGCCCACCAATTATAGAAGACAGTTAAATACGCCTAGTTTGCTGCTAAACATAAATAGGAGGATTCCTGGACATTTAGTCAGGAATAAATTATTTTATGACCTTCCCTGCCTCAGTTGTTAAGTGAATCATTGCAGTTGTTAAGTTAGTAGCACAGTTGTTAAATGAATCTGGCATCCCCCTTAACTTTGCTTGTCAGAAGGTTGCAAAAGGGGATCACATGACCCTGCAACCATCATAAAAACATGCCAATTGCCAAGCAGCCAAATTTTGATCACGTGACCGCGGGGATCCTGCAATGGTCATAAATGTGAAAAATGTTCATAAGCCACTTTATTCAGGGTGCAGTAACTTCGAACAGTCACTAAGCGAATTATTGTAACTGAAATGTATATGAAAAAGATACCAGGAATATCCAATTAAAGGATCCGGTAGCAGATGATGAAAAAAAAATATCTGCATAAGACCCTAAAAACCCACTCTTAAGTCTAGAAGGTCAAACATGCCTGGATGGATCTTTTGGAAATTACATTAAAAAAATAGCCTAAATCTAAATCAAGTGAGAATCAGATGCAGCATGTTCCGTTACAGCTGACATGTGATGTGATGTCCTCATTTTTGGGAAGGATGAAACCATCAAAGGCAACCTGCTTAAACTTCCTTGCTATCTTATGATACGCTTCAAAGAATCCTATCCCGAGCGGGGGGCAACTGGAATGACAAATTAAATCAGTGTACTTCAAATGCCAGCCTCAAGATCTGAGGAAGTGCATAAAAGCACTTTCAAGTGGTACAAAAAAGAAAGAAAAAAAAGAGAGAATCTGCAGAACATGGGAAATTTCTCCCAAACAACCCAATTAACCTGCTCATTCAGAAATCCTGCTCTATGGAGTAGAGAGTTGGTCTGACAGAAGGCCACCTGAAGAGACTAGAAACATTTGAAAGGTGGATTTACAGGCGGCTGTTACGTATAAGCTGGGTTGACAAGATCAGAAAGGAGGTGGTGATAAGCCGCCTGGGAAAGCCAAGGGAAATCATCAAAACAATTAAAAAACGAAAATTAGAATATTTCGGACATGTGATGCGACACCCAGAAAAATACGGCATACTCCATTTAATCCTCCAGGGAAAGATTGAAGGCAAACGAGGTCCAGGCAGAAGAACGTCGTGGCTTCAAAATCTAAGGGATTGGTTTGGATAAAACTCAGCAGCACGTCCGATAATGGATATGCCACAAGAAGAAGATTCAGAAATGCATTTCTTAGGTCACAAATTTTGGAAGGGGAAAGGGTTGCAGGACAAACAACGGGTTATTAACTCAGTTGGTTTTTAAGGTACTTCCTAAAGTATGACAGAAAAAAATTACCATTTGTTTTTGTTGTCTGAATTTGTTTCAGTTAAATATATTCTAACTTACCATTTTTCCCATATCTTTTCTAAGCTTGCCAGCTATATTAAATAATGTACATGTAGAATGATAAAATCCAACCATTCTTCCCTCAGTTTCCACGTAGTTTTTATTCTCTCCTACATAAGCACAATAAATTACCGTATATTTAAAGAAAATAGATTCCTTTGCACCTTCACTGTGTGAGTTCTGCTTTTCCTTAAACTGTCTGTTCTCTTTTTCCAATGTCTTAATTTTTAATTGGAGTTCTTTCATTAACTGCTTTGACTGTTCGAGTTCAGAAAATAAGGTCTGGTTTGCATTGTTTAGATGCCAATGTTGTTCTTTTAATTTCTGGAACTTCTCTCTGGGGAGAACCATCTGTTCCTGTTTTCGGTGGAGAACTGCATCTACCCAAGAAATGATATAAAATATTTATTGGTCACATAAATAGATGCAAATCTTTTGGAAAAACAGCTGTACTCTAAGAATCTTTATTTAGAAGCGGGTATTTTGTATTTATGACAAGGCTTCTGTCACAACAGAAATGAGTACTTACTCCACTTCAATAGTTTGAAGATACTTATATTATTAATAATTAAAGTTATATAAGATATGTCTTAATTAAATTGCAAACTGCAACAGATTTTTATGTTTTTATTTTGTGGGAAACAATTTACTGTTTCTTCACCTTTCCCAAAAGTCTTATAGTAAGATTGCAGGTATATCCCAGGCAGGGGCTATTATTAATACAAAATATACAGAGCACAGCAATTTGGAATCAATGCAGAAAAAAAGCTGCAGGGAACATGAAATATTCTTCTAGCATACACAGCAACTCCTTAAAGCAGCTTTAACTTTTTCTGGGATTCCACAGCTACCCTCTGTAGTTATAGTAAGTTCCCAGGAAAAGATGCATATCATTACAGGAGGCTCAGAAAGTCTGGGGAACATTTCAAAGCACCAATTTGCTTATGAAATCAAACATACTGCACCACTCTAGTACAAAAAACCCCCCTACATTTCCATTTTAGGTTCCACTATTTAGCAATATACCCAAATCTCAACAATAGCTTATGTTAATGACAGGCTTAAAGTTGGCTTGCTTCTAGTAACTGTTCTGTTAATTTTTCCAGCCTCAGAGATATTTGAAGGCAAGTTATGATTATTCGAAAATAAAACAACAGTCATGTTTCCTCATGACTGTGTAGGAAGTCATGGGGAAACAAACAAGTGCCAAGTTNAGTTCTTGTTAGGTTGAATTATGGTTCAGAACTACATTCAACCTATTCTGTAGAATCCAACACAACCTATTTACACGAAATTTAAATTTAGAGAGTTTGTACCTGAAGACGAAGGCGGTTTTTCATTCAGTGGATTTTCACCTGAGTTGTCTCCCTAGAAATGGAACAAAATATTTAACCTAATTTCTTGCAGGACCCCTTGTTTTCACACACACACCCCCAAATATCAGCAACCATTCCAGAACATATACAATGAACATTTAAAATGTTCTTTAGTTCTAACTTCTAAAGTTCTTTTAAAAATCTAATTATTGTTTTTTAAATATTCAGATTCAATAACTTAAAATAAAAATGAAGGATGCATAAAAGGACAAACAAAAATGGAAGGCGCACAATTTAGCCTTTCACCCAACTCCAGTAACTTGGAGGACTCAGGAACTTCTGTCACAGTAAGATATTCTAAATCTGTGTTTTTCAGCTTTGGCAACTTGAAGATGAAGATCTCTGAAGATCAATTTCCAGAATTCCCGAGTCTGCATGTAGTGCACATAACATCAAGTTACCACAGTTGAGAAACACGGCTGTAGAGACATAGATAAGTAACACCTCCCTATAGACTAGAAGGCAACCACTATCCCTGATGCTGCAAGTGAGTTTGAAATTCCAAGATTTACACCTATATACAATTACAATTACAGCTATGTTGAGACTGAATTAATGTCTGCAATCTTTATAAATATATATGCGTATGTATGTATGTATGTATGTATGTATGTATGTATGTATGTATGTAAATGAAGATTGCAGACATTAATTCAGTCTCAACATAGCTGTAGAGTGTAATTGTCTCAGACTTGACTTATCTCTGGAACTGTTGAAACTGGGGAAGAAAAATGGAAGAAAACCTTTCCCGAACGTCTTAAAGAAATATGGAATGAGAAGACATAAATGTCCTCAATTGAAATCATGGAACATAATTTTTATGCTGTTCTTACCTTAAACCTCACTCCAGGATATTCAATTTCTGTAATATAAAAACGTGTTTTGAGATATAAAGGGGAAATATATCAAATGAGATTCAATACTTCTAGTCAAGCTTCAGCTTTCATGATCTGTCTAGTTTCATCTCGTTTAGTTTCTAATTTTTCCACCTTTATCGTAAATAAATATTTTGGCAAGTGTAAAGGATTAGGAAAATGGAGGTTTGTGCTATGAGGATTTATATATATATATATTATATATTATATATTTTTATATATTATATATTCCGCTCTATTCGGGGGAAAAGATGAAAAGGAGTACATCTAAGACATAGTCATCTTTGTTCTGTTCATCCAATTCAGGTTCTCTCTTTCTCACTGTCAACTTACTATGTAGTCTTCTCCCATATAGAAAAAAATTATCTGAGTTTGAACTACTAAACCAGGGGTAGGCAACCTTGGCTCTTTTATGACTCGTGGACTTCAACTCCCAGAATTCCTGAGCCAGCCATGCTGAGGGAAAAGGGAGAAGTTTTCAAGCTGAGCCATGCCGGCTCCGGAATTCTGGGAGTTGAAGTCCACGAGTCATAAAAGAGCCAAGGTTGACTACCCCTGTACAAGACTAACCAACACATCAGACTGTACTAGACTAACCAACACATAATGGTGGGAACAGGTGGTGAAAAAGTTTTTTTATCTTCTCTTTAATCCTAATGCTCACTTCTCACCTTCCACCTGAACATTTGGCTGGATGAGACAACTTGGCTCGCAGACAGAAGAATCTTCCCCATTGGCACTAGAGGAGACCGGGAGATTTTCCTAAGTAAAAAATATTGCAATACAGCTTATAAATTCACACACCACTTGTGGAAATAGACGTTTCCAAAAGGCTCTAGGCAGGTGACAATCTCATTGTAAAACAGAACATTGATTAAAAAGAGGAGAACCGAAAACACATAAAAGGACAGATAGGATAAGGGGGTGTGTGTGCAACGTATGTGCTTGAATACACATTAAACAGGGCAAAACAAACTACAGCCTCCCAAGCTTTTTATGACCAGTGAAAGCATCCCTCGTACCTAAACTGAGCCACAAAACAGACTGCATGATTTCCTTATGGTTTTTAGTAATGAAAGGAAATAGGAGCTGTGGTGGCGCAGTGGCTAGAATGCAGTATTGCAGGTTAATTCTGCCGATTGCCAGCAGTTCGATCCTGACCGACTCAAGGTTGACTCAGCCTTCCACCCTTCTGAGGTCGGTAAAATGAGGACCCAGATTGTTGGGGGGCAATATGCTGATTCTGTATACTGCTTAGAGAGGGCTGTAAAGCACTGTGAAGCGGTATATACGTCTAAGTGCTATTGATAAATAAGTATTTAAAGTATTTAAAATCTCTTACTAGTTTAGGGTACCTCTTGATATCAAAAAATAACTCCTGTCTGTCTTGGAGATTCCCTATCCCAAACAAATATTGCTTGTCAAACCTGAGTAAGTAGAGGCTAGCTGCTGAAGGCTCTTTCCTATATGGGGTAACCACTTATGGGACGTAGATGGCCATTCTAGATGGCTGCTCTCTTGTTTTGGAACAGCTCAGATCCCTACACAAGATTGCCCCAATCTTTTTGTGCAAGTTAACAGACTATTAACAGAGGGTTTTGAATTTTAACTTTACTGTTGGATTACGTGTGTCTCTTTTTATATACAACATATGACAGGTCAATTGGTGGCAAACAGATGTGTAGAAGTTTATAAATAATAGGCTGTTTTGCAGGGAGGGGGGAAAGCTACTATTATTGTTGTAATACATCTATCAGTATCCAATTTGGGGAAGGGGACAATATATGTATATGTGATTTTGTCTTTTTTTTAATGCACAATTTTAAAAAAATATTTAGTTTTGTTTTGTCTTTGTAAAAAAAAATTGAAATTTATATTTTAATTCTTTGAATAAAATAAAAATGATTATTTAAAAAAGTGCCCCAATCTCTTAAGGACCACATAATTATAGAAAAGTGGCAGAGACAAGAACAAGGACTGGGGAGTCTTACAATTCCATATAATTTCATTTTATAATTTATTATAATTTCAGACGGCTAAAAGAAAAATGTCGAAAGGTTACCTGTTTGATTCTATGTGGCATAGCATACATCATCTCATGACTCGTGCTTTCTTTTTTATCAATAATTTGACGGTGTGGATCTGATTCTCTTTCTGTGTCCGAAGTGAATGTATCCATGTCATCATCCTCACAACTCCCAGATGCTTCTAAAGTTTGGACTACTTTCCTTTCATCACCATCACTCTGCCAGTTTGGACTATAAACAGAAAACAGTAAAAGGGTAATCCAATATAATATGCATTTGACTATAAACAATTATATTAAGTGCCCAATGTTTTTTTTTAAAAAAATATAGGGGATGTTTTAGTTAGTTTTTCTGCATGATATGCTTTCTAGTCAGCAAAACAAAAGGGTTCCTGATCATATAGAGACCCTACTTTATAGGCAATTAAAAATTCACAGTGCTTCTCGTATTAATGCTTTTACTAGTCAGATATTTCTTCTGAACGTTTGCCAATCTCAAATCAGTGGTTTTCAAAGAAAGTGTTTTTATGGTGTTTTATGAAATACACAAACTACCACTTTCTGCAATATTCAGAATTTGGCAACTCTGTTTATTCTTAAACTCTCTTTTTACAAAATGCAGTTTCCAAGACTTAGACCCCTAAAAATAGTTATTTTTAGAATCTTCAAGGGAAGAAAGCAAAAGGTATAAAAGGGACAGTCATGTAAACTGTAGTTTACATGTGAACTGGGCCATCAAGCTGGAACTTTGGACTTCCTTACTGGGGGGGATAAATTATTTTATACCGATGGATTAGGGATGCCAAAATGTGCAATATTTTCTACCCCATTCGTAGCTCAGTGACAGTGGCATATGGTTCAATGCAGTCTTCCTGATCTTGCAAGTAGCTGGCATCACTTTCCGAAAAAGATCGCTGACGAGGCTGAGGGATGGCAACCGTTCGTCCAGTCAAGGTTGTCACAAGAATAGCGGCTGCTAGAGCAGACCTGGAAAAAAAATCCATTTTTTTTAAAAAAATCACAGATCAGGAGGCTGGGATAAGGTAAGGTAAAACACTTAATCATGAGTTCAAAATATAATTTAAATTAAATAAAATATACATCTTAATACAATTGCTTCCTGAATCTAGTAGAGTTTCCTTTCACCGGATCTGGGAAAAGAGCCAGCTTTATGCGTAGCTACTTACATATTTTTCAACAGGCTGTGTGACTATTTACATGGGGCAACAGATTGTGCTGAGACCCCTCAACTCTACGTGTATATGAATGTTAAAACATGAAGTGGTTTCAACTATCTGAAATAATAGAGAAACATTCACAACACACACACATACAAGAAGAAATGTTTCTCTACAATAGAAAAGTATGGCAAAATGTGTTTAAATGTTGCATACAGTCATTTTTTTAATGGGCTGCTATACAGCTATATTGGATCTACTGAATCCACTGCTGGATTTAATCAATTCAACCCACTGGAAATAAAAGATTCATCAATGACAGCTTTAATACTGAGCCATAATAGCGTTATCAGTCTTCTTAATTCTTATAGGAATAATCAAAACAATCCATTTAGTTCATTATTTTTGATTTTTAATAAGCTAAGCTCTAATCTCAACCGCAATGCAAAGTTTGTTAGAGGAAAGCCACATTTCCTACTCTCATTTGCATTGTCATTTATACTCTGTATCCATCTGCATTTTACTGCACACACCCATGCTCTCTAGAACACGCCCGTGCAAAGGAGGATTCCAGCTGGCGCAACAATGGGCCTATATACAATCACTTTTCAAAAGTGCCAAATATCTGGATAATGATGGAGTAGTGGAGCAACACTTGTCATTGATGGAGTGAGTCTGAATCTCTGCAAAATAATAAGAGCATAGCTGCAGCCCATATGATAATATTAAGCTGGCTATGATCTATAAATTCTTGGAAGAAAGCCTGTTTTTTCCTGATTCAAAGACAAGCTAATGACATTTATACTATAAAATGGACTGTGTTCAATGCTGCCAAAAATCTCTTTTAATTACATAACATGCAAATATGTGGTACACGTTTCTCTTTCAAATGCAATCCTACATACAGTACATCTGGTATATACAAATGCACAGGCAAAATAAAGCCATTTTAAACATTCCAATATCCATTAATAATATTAATTCTAATGCATGACTGCAAATCAAGAGATGACAACCTACCTGGGTCTTTCTGGAGAAGGGTTTGGACTACGAGGGGGAGGGGTACGGGGGACAGCAGGTTTAGGAGCTATGGTAGCTGCGGGGATCAGGCCATGAGCTATATGTCTCTAGACAATGCAAAATAAAGTTAGTTGGCAATGATTGAACTAACACAATGAAGAAACACAAAAGTGCTCATGCACAAGGACCGATAACATGAAAGGGAAGAACACGTACATGCAAATTAATGTACAGCGGTAAGCCTATAAATGGTTTTGAATGTGATGCGCAAAACCACCGTATCACCACAAAAAATAACAGTTATTCCTGTAGCTACACACTGTTACTTTTCTTCTACAGTCTACCTATTTATTTACATACATGCTTGGTTTTTGGATTACAATGTAACTTTTGAAATGTTCGTTCTTTTCTCTTTGTGGAAAGTATCATATTCCAATAAAACAGCGATTCTGTTTCAGAAAACAAAAAAATCACTGGGGACGTTTATATAATTTCCCTAGATTCATCTGAACTTCTTTGAGGTCGTAAGTTGAGGACTACTTGTAGACGGGGGACATGCTTCAGGATGGCCAAGCAAAACACTGAACTTCTCCCAAGTGCCTCCCTTGAATCGTAGGGCTGGAAGGGACCTTGGAGGTCTTCTAGTCCAACCCCCTTGCCCAGTGCAGAAATCCTCCCACCCTTCTGGAACAAGTGACAGTCCAGGATTCAGGCTGCTCCATTGCTTGGTCCGGTTTTCCCTTTCTGATCCCTCCTTCCCGGTCCAACCAGGGATGCTCGGGAGCCAGGCACCTGGTTGCCATGGGAACCGGAGCCACGCTTGCCATCCGGGACCGCCCCGGCTCATCCTCCTTGCTTGTTCCCCGCGATCTTCCCTCCCCTTGAAAGAATCGATCCCACACCCCTGGGAAAATACTCACAAACAGGCCTCTTCGGCCCTTCCTGAAATAAAACGGCATGAGGGCGAAAAAGGCTGAGACAAAAAACGAGAATAAAGCAGGGAGGCAGAACAGGCCACGCCGGCCAGAGGGAGCGGCTCCCTCCTCCCCCTCCCGTACAGGAGGACGCTTCCCCTGGCAACCACTCCTCAATCAGCCGCAAGGCGATTGGTTAAGACTCCCCGCTTTATCCAATCGACATCCGCCTTACTGATGCTGCCTTCGCCTTAGCAACCAAGCGTCCGTTGTTTTGTTTCAGGGAGAGGCGGGAGGAAAAGAGAAGGGCTTTGATTGGCTGGCGGCGGCAGTGCGTCACGGCCGCCGCGCGATGTTGAAAAAAAAAGGCGGAAGCAGGAACTCCTCGCAATGGGAGCTCCCTCCGTTTGTCTTCCCGGGTTTGCCTGCGCGTGTGGGCAGGTTCGCACGTGTGTTTGAAGGCGCTGGGGGTTCTTGGAGATTGCTGTGCAGGATCTTTAAGCGGTAAGGTAAGAAGAATGCTTTGCATTGATTCACATATACATTGAATTAATAACAGCAGTAAGCTGTTCTTTGCATAGTCCCAAAGACTGGCTCTTTACTTGCTTAACAGAATAACACAACATAATATAGAATAATAAAGTTGAGGGACCTTGGAGGTCTTCTAGTCCAATCCCCTGCTCAGGCAAGAAACCCTGCCTATACCATTTCAGAACAAATGGCTGTCCAGTCTCTTCTTAAAAACCTCCAGTGATGGAGCACCAACAACTTCTGGAGGCAAGTCGTTCCACTGGTTAATTGTTTTCACTGTCAGGAAATTTCTCCTTAGTTCTAGGTTGCTTCTCTTCTTGATTCGTTTCCATCCATAGCTTGTCCTGCCTTAAGCTGCTGCTTGTCCCATAGAAATCTGAGAAAGATTACATACAATAAAACCTTATAAATTTTGTGGAAGATCTGACATTCAGGTTTAAAACAGAATAACAGAGTTGGAAGGGACCTTGGAGGTCTTCTAGAGCAACCCCCTGCTCAGGCAAGAAATCCTAGGTAATTTCAGACAAATAGCTGCTCAATCTCTTCTTGAAAACCTCCAGTGATGGAGCATCACAAGTTCTGGAGTCAAGTCGTTCCACTCATTAATTGTTCTGGCTGGGGGAAAAAACCCTATGGAAAGACATCAGCTGGAAGCCACCTGGATTTCATGGGCAATTTCTGGTTATTGAGAAATGTATAGTTTTTGCATTTTCAGAATAACAGATTGATAGTTTTTCTCTTGATAGGACAAATAAGCGTACAAGTACAAAGAAAGCTTAATAATGCCAAATGACACCACCCCAGTCCGAGCAGGAGCTGTAAATGTTCCTCTGGGCCACGTGATTGGCAGTGAGAAATGGAAGGGCTCCCAGATTGCTCAGGAGATGCACGGTAAGTTGTACTTTGATAAAATTACAGAATTTTGCTTACCAACAAGTCATCCCAAAATCTGAAAATTAAACCAACATTATTTGTTTAAATATATTGGTCCCTCAACTCCAATGGACTCTTCTTTTTTTAAAAAAGGAATCTGACAGATGCATTGCCTTTGTTTGGGCATTTAGTATAATTTAGTGGGTTGTTTTGAACTAGGATAGTGCGGTGAATGGCTTTCAGCAAATCAGAATATCAGTTACACTACAAAATATGAACTTAATGTCTTGGTTTGGTCTGGAGGTCTTAATTATAGTATTCCTAAACATCCAAAGGGTGCATAGGTTATCTAAACAGCCAGAAAAATTAGGATGTCTCATTTTATTAAGTTAGGATAATCAGAAGATACCACTAAATCACAAGGAATATTTTATTATTATTATCAGATTGTTTTAATTCTCATTAATTTGAATGCCCGTTCTATATGCTGTAAATGAAATATGGCAGGCCATATATTTAAATGCATACTTTCACTCTGTAGTGCTAAATGTACTTGGAAATGATCAGTCTTGAAATCATTGGCATTTTCTTCTGAATAACTAGGATATAAAGCAACAGCTTGATTTGCAGAGTGTGCTAAAGCATGGTTTGTTTACACAATATGTTAAAATCAAACTTAGCAGGATATGTAAAACCAGCGAACATTTCACCCAAAATAAGAATTCTGTGTCTACAGTAGTTCTGCCATTACTATAGTTTCATTGCTTCTCACATTTCAAGGGAAAGTTAAGCTTATTCTGGAAGATGGCCTGGGACTTGTGGACTTTCATCTTTCAAACAGATGCTGCATCCTCTACATTTCTGAAGCAGACCTGGTGGCAGGAAATGGCTTCAAAAGAAGACTTGTTCGTTTTAGAAATGTAAGCACCCTCTGAAAGTATAATTTGGATCATGCATTTTAGGAACATAATATCGGCAAAACATTAGATCAATTCATCACACTTCAAGGAGAATCTAAACTTTAGTACCATGCATAATTACTGTTATCAGCAATTATACCAGCAACCGAAATCCACCATTTTAAGAAGTATTTTTTTATCCTTAAAGGATTCTATGTGTTTTTCTTCCTTGTGTTGCTGTTTCCTTTTTGAAATGATCTGATTTTGCTTTAAGAACAAAAAGATATTTTGCCTAGGTAACTGGCATGGCTTTCTATTTATCTTCAGCTCAGAGAAAGCTTTAACTGGTGCATCTGTATCTAATTGGCTGTTGCAGGAAAAGATGAGGAATTAATGGCCATGTATGGTGTATTGTGGTTCTCATATGCACAGTTCTGAATGATGTCAACCCAGCCATTCCTTCATTCTCATATTCATCTGTGAGGAAACAATAGTCTTTAATCAGTGATTTTAAGCAGCATAGCTGAGTGGAGTGAAGAAGAGAAAGTGGAGAAAGCACACCTTTTTACTTTCCCAGCCCTCCCAATGAGCTTACTCTAGGACAGGGGTGTCAAACTGCCGGCCCACGGGCCGGATGCATCATAGCAAAGCCACGCCCACCTCATTGCCGCCAATTGGAAAAAAGTCGTGATATATCACGACACATCACATGACGTTGCGCTAGGCTGTTGGTTTGTTTCTGTCACTAATATCTGTTACTCTCATTGTTCCTACTTGTTCCAGGCTTGCAATCTTCAAGGGATTGTATTAGTTGAAAAAACCCAAATAAGTAACCAGTATTTTCCAGAAGTGCAGAAATTTGTCGTTCTGGAACTGGGAATGACTTTACTTCCGGTGGCTAGCCAAACAGAAGCAGCTCAACTTATTGCTCAATTGGTAAGTACCTTCAAGAGCTGCTTGTACTGCTAAATGGGTATCCATCAGGCTGGTTGCTTTAAAGCAGTGCTTTTCAAAGTTGACAATTTTAAGACGGGTGGACTTCAGATCAGAACTGGCGTACAAGAGTTTCTCATGTTCAAGTGACTGCAGGAAAAAGAATGATGGACGAGACAGACCTTGGTTTGAGGCGGCAAAATAATTTGAGAACTAGGGCTGTGTGATTCCTATTAGTTTTGGAGGAAGTGCCTCAAAATGCTCAGAAGCTTGAATGCAATACCTGTGACTCATTAAACTAACTACATTCGTTTCCAGTAAAAAGATGCAGATACTTTAATGACTGCTGGTCTGCTATCCTGCCCAGTCCAAAGTGCCACTTTCATTCTGCATCCAAAGCATTGACCATCCTATAACCCAACATTTTTCTGCATTACAGGTAGTCCTCGACTTACAACAGTTCATTTAGTGACCGTTCAAATTTACAACGGCATGTAAAAAAGTGACTTATGAATGTTTTACACACAACCATTGCAGCATCCCCATTGGTCACATGATCACAATTAGGATGCTTGGCAACTGACTCGTATTTACGACAGTCGCAGTGTCCCGGGAGTCACGCGACCCCCTTTTGCGACCTTCTGACAAGCAAAGTCAGAAGGAGGAAGCCAGATTTGCTTAACAACCGGGTTGCTAACGTAACAACTGCAGTGATTCACTTAACAACTGTGGCAAGAAATGTCATAAAATGGGGCAAAATTCGCTTAACAAATGTTGCATTGAACAACAGAATATTTGGGCTCAGTTGTGGTCGTAAGTGGAGGACAACCTGCAAACAATTAGCCACCAAAAACCACAAGAGGGCAGCCAGACTGAACTTGACTTTCATTTCAGGTGCACGAACAGACTAAAACCAGCAGTCTCTTCCAAAGTAAGAAATGTACCAAGCTATTGGAACCGTCTATACTCCACACAGTTCAGCAGATTCCAGGAGTTGGAAAGACAAAGGCCCTTCTCCTCCTGGAAAACTTTGGGAATATCCATCAGCTTTGCAATGCCTCTCTCCAGGAGCTCGAAGGAGTAGTTGGCCGCAGCCTAGCTCAACAAATTCACGCATTCTTCGCCCAGACAAAATAATCTCGGTTTTCCAGCATCAGAGATAAGCTTTTTGAAAGGCTGGAATTTCCCTTACACACACCGTCAGATTTCAGTTTGTATGAAACTCAAGAGAGCCTTCATTTCCATCTATTGTTGTTGTTAGTTGCGAAGTCCTGTCCGGCCCATCGGGACCCCATGGATAATGTTCCTCCAGGTCTTCCTGTCCTCTACCATCTGAGGAGCCAATAACTCAGGGAATTATTTTTGAGCTCAAGTTTGTTCCATCTGGGCTTTCTTGGGTAGCTTTTGGCTTTCAACTGCATAAAGCTGGACATGATGCCACTTTTTATGAATAGCACTGAACACCTTTTCCTGGAAGATTACCTGTAGTACCAACATCCCATTTGCCTTCCTTTAAACAGTTCTTGTTCTTTTACTAATAGTTTCCTAAGTACATTCTTTTTCAATCTCAGATACTTCTTAAAGGAGATGGAGACTTCATCTCTTGTCTGTTCAGACTGTTGAAAAATATAGGGTCTCTGAGTTACTTTTTAAGCCAAAAAAGAGCAAGTTGTTAAATGTAAATGAATTTTACATTTGTTCAGTAGGTCTTCCCTATTGCCGTATTGATTTGGATACAGAAGAGAAACCTAATCTGAGTTTTGCCTGCCATTCATAACTTGTTTAAGGAGAAGGTATGAATTCTAAGCATTGGAACTTTTACTTAATGAGTGTTGGGAACAGCAAGATTTAAGGTGCTTGATTTTGTATCTGTTAAAGTCAGGAAGGTCAATTCCCTGTTCTGATTGGTATGAACTAGGCTGAGATACTGTAATGCTGAGATAATAGGAGTTGCTGGATAGATCATCAATTAAAAAACTTGTTCTCACTTGGCCTTCAACTAATTAGCCCAAGGAAGTAGCTTTGGGCAAATAGCACCAAAAAAAACCCGGAATGAACCTTGTTTCTTTCCGGCACTAAGTATAACTCTGAAAATCCTTATTTATAGATGTCATCTAGGCTTTCCTCTGCTCTTGATTGACGTTCCTCTGGATCTGCTCTATCCAAAACATTGTATGACAGGTGGACCTGGTAGGAAACTGCTGTAGGAGTGGAACCTGAATATTATTATTTTTGCACGAGGCACCTGGAAGGCCGCCAAACTGAAATTATGTAGGAGTATAAGAGTGAAAAAAGGGAGTGAGTCATCCTTCTTGGCTGCCCAGAGGGCTTTTGTAATCATTTCCAGCAAAGTTATACTTCTCTGGAGCTTAAAGGTTGTAACTTGGTCCTTTCAAGCAACACTCCCACGTCTTTCAAAGAAAGTCCACGTACCTCACATCAGATAGAATCGGGTAGTTACCCTTTTGACATTTGACTGCACCACCATCTAGTTTTACAGGCAGCCTTGGGCCAAGGGCTATTTCTCAAGGGATGGAATAAAGAGATAAAGATACTTTCAGGAATGGTTCTGGGTGCCTGCATCCCTGTAGTTTTCCTGGCCATGGGACAGGATGGCTTCCGATTGCTGCCTTGCAGCATTTACCTATTTCCAAGTCAGGCTGGTAATTCCAGAATTCCTCAGTGTTATTTCATTTTTTAAATTAGCTAAGACTGAGTAGGTACGGTCGCCTAATTGGGCAGAGGACAAGTCTGAAGCTGTTTTGGACTCTTGGACAATATTATTACAGACATCCCTTTGGTGACCGGGTTGACATTGTTTTAAGCCAAGGACGGACACTTTTTTTCATGATTGGATGCTACAGTGAACAGCGGGCAGGCCGAGAAGGCAAACCAGGTTAACGCGGCACTTTTGCTGAAGTGCAGAAGGTTTAGGCAGGTTTTGCAATTTGGAGGGGGAGATGTTGCAGACACATGCAGGAAGACACTGTGTTAAGATGGTTGAAATTCTTTCCCTCAACGCCCTCTGAGTCAACAGAAGGGCAAAACGTTTAAGGCAATCTTATCTTGTATGAAAGATAATAAACGGCATTCGTCTTTTTGTCCAGGAAGTTCAATTGTGGTCTTTTAACTTCATTAAAAAAAAAAAAAAGGTTGGACAACTGCTAGAATTGCAAGGTAACCACACCTTTATGGAACAGGCTTGGAGTGGATCTCAAGGAAATGGTGACTCCGTGCTACGATAGTAACATCTAATGTTTTCTCCTAACCTTTTAATAATGCAAATGTATTCATTTTAGAATGCCTTTTAAGTGACATTTTATGGGGTTTTTTTTAACTGTATTTCTGAGTCAGTTAGGTAGGTAGGTAGATAGGTAGGTAGATAGATAGATAGATAGATAGATAGATAGATAGATAGATAGATAGATAGATAGATAGATAGATAGATAGATAGATAGATAGATAGATTGATTTTTATTTAGTCTGAGTAAGAACTGAGTAACGTCAGACATATCCATGATTCTAGGAGATATTTTTATTTAGGAGTCTGAGTAAGAACTGAGTAATGTCATGTTATTCTGGTAACATTACAGCCAAGGCCTTTGTGAAATCTAAAAATACTGTACATTATTCAGAGGACAAAAAAAAAACACCCTTGCTTTTGGATAAATTGTCACGCACCAAGGAAATCAGGAGATCCAGGTAGTTCAAGTGTGTATAAGGATTTATTGTAGCTCTCTACAAGTATCTGAACTACTAACGGTCAGGGGAAAGTAGTAGGAGTTAAGAACAGAAAGGAATTCAAAGTGGGCTGGACTGTGGGTGCGCCGGGACTCATGGCAGATGACATGTTTGATCTCTCCCTCAGGCTCAGCCTGGTCATCCCTTACAAAATTACAATATGCTTTATTTAAAAGAAATTGGCAAGCATAGCATTGTTACAAACTGGAGGAATGACACTATTATATTGCTACAGGATAAAAAATCTTAGTTCTCAGTAGATTGAACTTGGCAAAGGAGCATTTTTTGCAACAGCAGGATAAATAATTGCTATACTGGCTTTATTTGATTGCCTAGGCTTTATGCCTATGCATCTACTGCATTTTTCTGACTTGTTACGCTTAGCAGGGTTTCAAACTTGCCTGTGTATATTGAAATCCCCTCATTTATTCTTTCAAGACCATGTATTGTTTAAAGTGAACCTATTATTTAAGAAATCAAGAGTATAAGGGCTGTTGACTGCTAATGAAGTTAAGTTAATAATAGTAGTAGTAGTAGTAGTAGTAGTAGTAGTAGTAGTAGTAGTA